GCCAAGGAATGAATCACCAAGTGGAAGAAATAAAAAAAAAATAATAGTAAGCCTTGCCATCCATACTCAGCTACTCTCGTTTTGATAAATCCAACACAGGCTATTTCTGGAGCTTTATTTGAGGTCTTTCCAGAATACTCCAACCTGCTAGAGCTACAGTCCACTGGTACAGAATTCCAAGAGCCGAGGATAAATGCCACATTGGAGTTCAAGTCACTGGGGGGAAAAAAGACTGCAGACAAATCACAGTGGGGGAAATAAACAATTATGTTGAAACATACCATTGTATCGATCTTTCTGATTTAATGCTTCTGTGTTGTAATACCACACCCAAACTGCCTAAAACAGTGCTGGTGTTGCCAATCCCCACCCCACCTCCGAAGCAAAAAAAAAACCAAAACACACACACACACACTGGAGAGAGATTACTTCTAAACCTCAGATCACTTCTTTGGAGAAGTAGAGAACAAAGCACAGATAAGTCATCATTTTCCTTTTCCCACAGAAGAAAACAAAGTGAAGAGACAGGTTTGTGGTCTTCGCACTTATTCATTGGAAAAGAAACAAAATAACCCAATTTTTTCTGACATAGAACTTTGGAAACAAATTAACACCCCAACAACAGAGAGATCACAATAAGTCTTTTCAGGATTCGCACAGGATTGTCACCTCCGACTGATGTTTGGCAAGGATTCAATCCCTCTGTGTCTAATTTCAGGCTTTCAGGATGTATTTTTTTTGTCCTGATCAAGCAAATTACTTTTTTTTTAAACAGACTAGATAGAAAAATACATAGTCTGGGGTTTAATTTGAATGGTTTAATATTTCTAATCCTACTTTTAGAAAAATCTTTAGATATCTAGGCAATAAAAATAACATCAAAAGACCAAAGCATGGATGACTAGCCAGGTGATGTATTCATCTTTTTTATTATTTTATTTGTTTGTTTTTAGTTTTCAATATTCACTTCTATATGATTTTGAATTCTAAATTTTCTCACCCTCCCTCTCCTCCCCCCCTCCCCAAGATGGCATGCAATCTGATATAGGTTATATATGTACAATCATATTAAAATATTTCCACATTAGTCATGTTGTAATGAATAGTGAAAACAGAGGGAAAAACAATGAGAAAGAAGAAGCAGAGAGAGAGAGAGAGAGAGAGAGAGAGAGAGAGAGAGACAGACAGAGACAGAGACAGAGACAGAGACAGAGACAGAGACAGAGAAAGAATAGAATGCTTTGATCTGCATTCAGACTTGATAATTCTTTCTCTGGATGTGGATAGTATTTTCCATCATGAGTCTTTTGGAATTGTCTTAGATCCTTGCATTGCTGAGAAGAGTTGAGTCTATCAAAGTTGGTTATCACACAATGTTACTGTTACCGTGTCTGATGTTCTCCTGATTCTGCTTGCTTCACTCAGCATCAGTTCATATAAATCTTTCCAGGTCTTTCTGAAGTCCACATGCTCATCATTTCTTATAGCACAGGAGTATTCCATCATGATTTATTCATTTTTACAGAAAATATGTTTCAACAAACACACATCTCTTAAGAATCACCCTACCCGGACTCTCATATTTTTGTTTATTTTCATTTTAATGTTTTAAAAAATGATTATTTGTTAAATAGTATAATATAATAATATAATAACTTCATTATTACTTTTTAATAAACAAAATAAAACATTTGTCAAAAGAAAATAAAAATCTATCCTTGACTGTAAGGCAGTTTATCCGGATTTGTGTGGAAAGGGCTTAGAGTCTGCTTTGAATGTCCTTACTGAAAATTCCTCCAAAAACAAGGCAACAACTTCAGATGATGAACGTCTGAAAGAGTAGGGAATTAGAAACTGCTACCAGTCCGGAGTAAGAATATTGATTTCTGGACATCCTCATCTTTCATAGGATCTGCATAAAAAGGGAATCTTTTTGCAGGAAAAGGTGAACATCAGCACGCTATTAATTTCCTGAGAACAAATCATTTGCAACAAAATCTATCACCTTACATTTTTTTTAAATGTTGGTAAGTTCATTTTTTCAGTACTGTGTAATTCCTTTTTAAAAATTAATTACATAATTTATTTTTAGTTTTCAATATTCACTTCCACAAGATTTTTAGTTCCATTTTTTCTCCTCATCTCTCCCCTCCTCCCACCCCAAGATGACGTGCATTCAACATACCCCTTTCCCTCATCTGCCCTTCCACTATCTCCTTTCCCTTCTATTTTCCTGCATGGTAGGATAGATTTCTCTACCCCATTGCCTGCATATCTTATTTCTCAGTTGCATGTAAAAGCAATGTTTAACATTCATTTTTAAAACTTTGAGTTCCAAATTCTCTTCCTTCCTCTATCCCCATCTGCTCTCATTGAAAGCTCAAACAATTCAATATAAGTTATAGGTGTGTAGTCAAGCAAAACATTTCCATGATAGTCATGTTATGAAAGACTGGCTATATTTCCCTCCATCCTATCCTGCCCCTGTTTATTCTACTCTCTCCTTTGACTCTGTCCCTCCTTAAAAGTGTTTGCATCTGATTACACCCTCCCCCAATCTGTCCTCCCTTCTATCATGCCTCCCTCCTCTTATCTCTTTCTCCCATATTTTCCTGTAAGGTAAGATAAATTTCTGTGACCAACTGAGTGTGTATGTTATTCCCTCCTTAAGCCAAATGCGATGAGAGTAAGATTCACTCCTTCCTTCTTGCCTCCCTTCTCTTCCTCTTCACTGTAAAACTTTTTTTCTTTTCTCTTTTACGTGAGATATTTTACCCCATTCTAACTCACCCTTTTTCTTTCTCCCCATACAATCCTCTCTCACCCCTTAATTTTATTTTATGGATACCATCCCTTCATATTCAACTCACCCTGTGCCCTCTGTGTGTGTGTGTGTGTGTATACACACACACATACATACATACATACATACACACATACACATGTACATATATACACATACACATATACACACATATATATGTATGTGTGTTTGTGGATATGTATGTGTGTGTGTTCCCTCCAACTACCCTAATACTGAGAAAGGTCTCATGAGTTACAAATATCTATTTCCATGTATGAATGTAAACAGTTCAACTTTAATAAGTCTCTTATGATTTCTCTTTCCTGTTTACCTTTTCATGCGTCTCTTGAGTCTTGTATTTGAAAGTCAAATTTTATATTCAGCTCTGGTCTTCTCAGCAAGAATGCTTGAAAGTCCTCTACTTCATTGAATATCATTTTTTCCCCTGAAGGATTATACTCAGTTTTTCTGGGTGATTCTTGGTTTTAATCCTAACTTCTTTAATCTCTAGAATATCACATTCCAATCTCTCTGATCCCTAAACGTAGAAACCACTAAATATTGGGTTATCCTGATTGTGTTTCCACAGTACTTGAATTGTTTCTTTTTGGCTACTTGCAATACTTTCTCCTTGACCTTGACTTGTGTTTACAAGTAATATTTAGAGTCCTCCAGGAATCAATTGTTTTGCAACCTGGCACCAATCAAAAAAAAAAAAAGTCCTCTACAATTCTGCAAACAGTGGTGGTCTTGAAGCATATGTCTGGCTGAAAAACAGCATCCCCCTTCAGATAGTCTAGTGACAGACCACTCCAGATATAGCTAGAATGATCTGTACTTGCTATCCTACTATAGTAGATACAGAGATAGAATGGGCCTAAAAACCCTTCTAATCCAATCATCTCATGTCACAACTGGGGAAACTGAGGCCAAAAGAGGTTCAGTGGCAAATAAATGGAAGAATCAGAATCTGAACCTGAGTGTTCTTGCTCTAAATACAGTAGATGATCACTGTAGGACTGGGCACATACTTTTATCTGCACTATCATATTCTATTCTATGGATAATTTTCAATTCTTTTTTTTCTTTTTTTTTTAAGCAATTGGGGTTAAGTGACTTGCCCAGGGTCACACAGCTAGTAAGTGTTAAGTGTTTGGTCTGAGGCTGGATTTGAACTCAGGTCCTCCTGACTTCAGGGCTGGTGCTCTATCCACTGCGCCACCTAGCTGGCCCTGATTTTCAATTCTTGAAACTAATATGATAGTCACCTTTGTGGTGATTTAATAATGGCAACTAAATTCAAAGAGCAAATGGATTATAAAATTTAGTGGCATTTATTCATGTACAGAAAAATAAGTTAAATTGCCGATGAAGATGATGGAATTAGACTAAAACGGCCCTCAGACTCGGGATAATTTGATATCATTGTTCTAGAACTGATTTGTCCAGCTTCCTAGGCTCTCTCAGAGCTTCTGCTCTATTTGCAAAGCATTGAGGAACTCAGAGTCACTGTCATGTCACTGTGAGACATCTGAGTGTGGTTTGCATGTAGTAAATTGTTTTTATTACATCTAAAATGAGTGGATAACGTAGAGAAGAATCTTTTAAGGGGTCACGAATATCCTGAGTGTCCATATTGCCCACCTAGGCTCCCATTCTTTATAGGATCCATGAGGGCTGGGACTGACATTTGTCTCTTTTTGTACCCCAGTGATTAGCAAAGGGTCTGACACATAGTAGCTTCTTGAATGTTTATTGATTGATTGATTGATTATAATGAAAATGAGCTCATAAGTACTCAATGTATGAAACTTAACTTTTTATATAAACGTCATTTAATGAATAAAGGAATCTACTCTGTGTGTGTGTGTGTGTGTGTGTGTGTGTATGCTTGCATATGCACGAGCATCAAACTACTAACAGGTTAAAGTGCAACCTACAGAATACCATATGTCCACTTAGCCAGTAGCATCGAACAGCTTAAATCCAAGGACTGCTTCAGGTGCCAGAGACCATATTGAACCCACCTGAGTGGTATCATTGGCAAAGAGTCATATTTGGTACGCTTCCAATCACGCTACATGAGTAGCTGCCTACTTTGATTACACGCAGTCCTGATTATGGCTCAATATTTCAGTCTCATTATAGAGAAGGAATTTTGAGGTCTTATTCTTTCTGTTTTATTATTTGTTTTCAGCTAACACCAGTAGGAACCACCATATTCACAGGGTTTTCTGGAGATAACGGAGCCACAGACATAGATGATGGTCCCAATGGACAGATTGAATACATCATCCAGTACAACCCAGATGATCCAGTAAGTATTTGCTTTGAAGGGACAGTCAGTTAACTCTGATGAAACAAGAAAAAAAAACTTGCTATTTTTTTTTTACCAGATCCCTCATTTTGTTGGAACAATGAGTTCCAAGTGAGGAATTTCCTGCACCGATGCAGATTAGATTCTTCTCTGTAGCTTATAGTCTTAGATAATTCCTAGGAGGCACTGAGAGGTTAAATGGTTTACTCCCAGTCAGACAACCACTATGCATGAGGAATGGTACTTGAAGCCATCTTCCCTACTCTAACTAGTTTTCTATCACTGTACGATGTTATGTTTTCATTATAGTATACCCCTCTCATAATTATTTTCTAATTCATTGACTATGATTAATTTTACTTTGTTATTTTTTATTCTGATGTGATTTAGTTACAATTATGATTTAGGAAAAAAATTCCACTTTTTCCTTTGTGTTGATCTTCAGAAGTTCAAGTTAGCTTAATTTTTTTTTTCTGTTTTGTGATGAAAGTTATATGTTTCTAAGAAAAAAATATAATAGTAATAACTAATATTTAAATAGTTCTTTATGGTTTGCAATATTCTTTAAAAAAATTTCTCAGTTGATCCTAATAGCAGCCCTGTGGTATTGATACTATGATTAGCCCCATTTCAAAGATGAAGGAATTGAGGCTGATTGGATTTCAGTGACCTACCCAGTTGCTCCTACCTTTAAATTCAGAGCTTCCTATCCACCATGCCTTATGACATCAAGATTCTGGTCAAGGATAATAATAATATTGACACTCTCAAGGTAGTTTACAGAGCTTTAGACTTGTAAGAATTGCCATTGCCGTTGCTGAACCCTGAGGTCTTTCTTCTCCATCTTTTACTCCAAATCAAACAGGCTCTGCTTTACTACCGTCGCTGTAGATGGCAGTAAAACAGCCCAAATTAAGGAGAGAAAAGTCAAGTTTAGCAAGCCAGAAGTATTGTGGAGTAAATAGCTCCTCTGGCTATGTCTCTAGCTTAGTGAGTCAAAAGCATGAAAAATTGTAACATTGTACTAAGGGATTTTTAGTGAAAAGGGGACACTAACACAGATATATTTTCAAATGACCCTACTTTCAATTTAGGGTAATATTTATAGTTTTGATATCTTTAGTAAAAGTTATAGGAGCAAGAATGCTTGGAAAAAAGGGTAAATTTTGTATGGGGTAAGGAAATATGGATCTGACTGAAAAAATCAGTAGGTAGATCATATGTTGAGAAAAACTGTGAGCTCCACTTGAAATCATTTAATATTAATTAATAATATAATACAATATAATATAATACAATATAATATAATGCAATATGATATGATATATTATATATATATATATATAATATAATATAATACAATACAATGCAGTAAGATGTGACACCAAACAATATAATACAATATAATATAATAACCTAGAGAAAGACTAAGGCTTATCACAGTGCCTGGAACATAGTAAGAACTAAGTAAATGTTTGTTGTCTACCTCTCTGCCCCCAAGACATTAGGTATTCCACACAGAGGGGAAATTGACAGAAATACTTTTATGGATGGATTGCATTCTTCAATAGGATGGAAGGTACTTGAAAAGGAGGGGTGGTATCAATTTCATTTTTGTTTCTTCAGTACCTTTCACAGTGGCTGGCACATAAAGGTGCTTCATAATTGTTTACTGAATTAAATTGAATTGTACTGAAATGAAAATAATTCGACTAAATCAGTGATCACAGAACCATCACAGTGTCAATGACAAAAACTGTACTTTAAAAACTTTACCAAATCACATCAAAATATCTGGGCCCCTTATTTGCCACCCCAGGCTACTCTTTGAGATCCCATTAACGTGGCCATCCTAGGTCCTCAGAGGGCAAATGAATACTATTCCATTTAGGAGTTCTAATAGAACCTGAGCATCTAAGGTTGTTAGTATTTTCACTCCCGTGCACACATGAATGTGTTCCCCATTGCCAATCAACCAGATATCAGTTGTCTTTTATTTTTTAAGAAAGGATTTAGTAAGAACATATATCAAGAGTAGTTGCTCCCCCAAAAAAAAAAAAACAAAAAACAAAAAACCTCCATAAGCCAGGGGCACAGTCTCTCCCATCACACAGAGGCCTTGGGGAGAGCAGGCTCAAACATTTCATACAAAGCTGGCAGGCAAGCATGTAGGGAACAAAGGGGCAACTGAAAGCCCTGCTGGAAATCTTTTTATCCTTTTATATACAGCTATCCCTTCCACATCAATGCTTTCCCATTACAGTTTTGTATATCAGGAGTCAGCATAAGAAATTAAAAGGGAAGGGGTGCGGAGCTAGGTGGCATGGTGGATTAAACTATGGCCTTGGAGTCAGGAGGACCTGAGTTCAAATCTGGCCTCAAAAATTTGATACTTACTAGCTGTGTGACCCTGGGCAAGTCACTTAACCCCTGATTGCCTTGCCAAAAAGAAAAAAAAAATTAAATGGGAATTTGGGGGGAGTTTTGTGGAAGCAGCGAATGATACATGAAGGCCCATGGATGATAGAAACGAGTTGAGAAACTCAGAAATGCGTAAAATATGTATGAAGTATTATATAATATCAAAATATTTTATCTTGAAATACCATAATAATTCAGATTTCTTCTCTGGTATGAAGGGAAGGCCAAAAAAAATTATGTGGATTTTCCAGATCACAGGGGCACTGCATCCCTAACCCCCAAAATATGGAAGGGATAACTATAGTATCCTTATGAAGTACCCTTTACATGTGACTTTCTGCTAGATTTCAAAAGTCCATGCCTTTACAGAGTCTGAAGTTGCTGTTTCTCTCTATGCCAAGGTCTAATGTCCCCTGAAGTGGCCCTTCCCCAAGTGCCTTCTTGTCCCTTTCCTGGCATGTCACTCAGCTCCGAATAGAAGCTTTCATTAGCCAGTCCTGTTCCTGAGTAACTGCTATTGATACACACGGAACCTCCAGACCTTCCTTGGTTCCCACCTGGTCAATTCCATCTCTGGAAATATGAAAATCAGGAAATAACATGAAAGACTTGGCTTCTCTGTAGAAGAAAAGGAATTGCCCAATAGGCTGGAGGAAAAGTGTGGAGAGTGGAGGGGGGAAGCCAAGGAGCTGGGGAAGCCTAAAGGTCTAAGCAATGGAAAGGAAGCAAATGAAAGCCTCCTATGGGACCAGCAAGTCACAGCTCAGGAGAGTTATTGATAATGGACCAGCACAGCTAAAATATTAGTCTTTTTGATTAGGATTTAGGACTCTTTGCAACCCTGGAGTTAAAGATCACTGTAGGAGGACCTATGATCATTCTTCAGTAGGACTGGTCTCCAGAGACCTCCAAAGGATGGCATAAAGTAATGCCCAGTGTTTGTCCTTGTCATGTGAAGATGTTATTGGAACTCACCAATTAGTTTGAGTGAAAATGTGCTGCTCTTCTGTACCATGTGGTGGTGATTCTTTATTTTTAACCACCCTGCCACTTATCTTATTCTAACTACCTCTTCACCACCACCTCCTCCACCCCCAACAAAGAAAAAAGGACACATACATTCAAGGGTAGGTGACCTCTCATCTCAGATGCCATTCTGCGGTAAGAATAGATTGGATTAGAGGCCCTTGAGGGTCCTGCCCATTCTGACATTCTGTGATACTGATGCTGTGAAATGCTGATTATTTTAAACACAATTCCAGGCAGCTTTGTGTTCAATTGTGCACTCTGTTCAGTACCTGGTAAAGTAGCAACGGAATATGCATGTCGCTTTGTGAAAATGTTTTCTCTGTATAGCCAATGCATGATTGTCTGTGATCTTTGGAGCTGAGGTAAAGATGATTAATGAAAATCAGTACAAAGGCGATGGCAATCTCAATTTTGGTAGCGCTACACCCACCACCGTGAGTTAGCAGCGTTCGATTCAAGAAACATGTATTAAGAAGGTACTATATTCCAGGCAGTGAGCTAGACCCCAAATCCCAAAATGATACAATCTCTGTCCTTGACAAATTTGCATTCTATTGGACTGGACCATCGAAATGCAGAAAGTTCTGTTTCATCCCTTTGATTTGAACCAAGCCTTCCCTGAAGTGTGGGAGGGACTGCCGGGAAGATCTTCCACATAAACCCTCTTAGCTTCCATGCGACTGCCTGAGGCCGAGGTGTCCCCATTAGCCAGGAGTTCTGGCCTTGGAGTCCAGAAGTTATTGTTGTTAGCTGCTTAGTTGTGTCCAAACCTTCATGACCCCATTCAGGATTTTTTTTTCAAAGTTACTGGAGTGGTTTGCTGTTTCCTTCTCCAGCTTATGTTACAGATGAGGAAACTGAAGCAAGCAGGCTTAAGTGAATTGCCCAGCGTCACACAGCTATTAAGCATCTGAGTCTGAATTGGAACTCAGGTCTCCCTAACTCCAGGCCTGGTACTGTATCCATTTTGCCACCAATCTGTCAGGAAAGCCTGAGTTTACACCTAGCCTCAGATATTTACTAGCTGTGTGACCCTAGGCAAGTCACTTAACCCCATTTGCCTCAGTTTCCTCATTTGTCAAATAAGCTGGAGAAGAAAATGGAAAATCACTTCGGTACTTTGAAAAGAAAATCTGAAATGGGGTCATGAAGAGTCATAAAGAGTCAGACATAAGGGCAAGGAATGAAAAAAAATGAATGAAAACTCAATTTAACCTACTTTCATTCCTTCACCACTGCTCAGCCTCCTCCTTAGATGTCTCTGAAACTCTTGTCCATACTACACACAGCTACCAAAATGAGTACCAGACCAGCCACTCAGTCGATTCTAATATTTCTCTGTTACTTACAAGCTCAACAATAAAGTCCTCTTTTTAGCTTTTAAATCCCTGCAAAGCCTGGCTCCAATCCATTTTCCCCCCAGGCTTATTGGACATTATTCAACCTTCTGAACTCTGAGATCCAGCCAGGCTGCCTAGAGCTCTGTTTTTAACACACAACACTAGTGATTGTTTGCCTTTGCCCCAATCTTCCCTTGGCCCAGGATGCTT